CCCCCCCCCCCCCCTCTCTCTCGCGCAATATGGATCAACCTGTATATTCTTGGCTTGTCGGATGGCACGATGGCACGAGATAAGATGGGCGTAGGATCCGCCCTTTCGCTCTCCGCACCGAACCATATTGCAATACAAGGTGCTACCTGCCAAGAACGTCGAAAACTTCTCCTTATCACGCCCCCACCATCTTGGAATCGATTTATCGAGCGGGGCGGCAAAAGCCACCAAACACCATGTACTCCTACAACCTGTGCACCCCACCTGGATCTGTTTTCATGTGATGCATTTTCCATTTGTGCCTAGAAAAACACGCCCCACCCTACTGCACACTCTAATTTAATTGAAAGGTGATAGCCGAGGATGGCTTCACCGTCTACTGGACCGTGGACACCGCCGCTGAGGAGGTCACGATGCAGGTATGCATGTAGACGACGGAATACTAATACTTCTGACAGTACTGTACTTCTAGAATGTACAACGAACGACATGTGACCACCAGCGAATCTCCTCTGTCGCGTGTTTACTATGATGAAATATTTCGGTACTAGTATGTTTTTTCTGGACACACCAGCCGGGGCCTGGCAGCAGGAAATCCACCGCAGTATGGGGGGGTTGTTGCTATTTGCATTAAGATTCACGCTGCAGTTTTTGGTTTTGGGCAGGACAGATGCGCAAGAAGGGCTAGAGATGCTCTTTGGTGGGTGTATTTAGCAGGGCCAACATGCTGCTGGTCTAGTACGTCCTGGATGTCTGGATACGATGTACCACACAGGGTGATGTGCCGCAGTTCGTCATGCCGCCCACGGTTCGGTAGCCGATCATGTTCTTTTCGAGAGCGAGAGAGAGAGACAGACAGACAGACAGACAGACAGACAGACAGAGACAGAGACAGAGACAGAGACAGACAGAGAGACAGACGACAGAAACACCTGTATGCAGACTTGGCCACGCCACCGCAACTGGCAGCTACAGGAGCAAAAAACAAACGACAAATCAATCGTTCCTCGTCAACAACACCAGTCCAAATCGACCAACCCAACTTCCCCCCACCCACCCAAGCAACTGATGAAAGAACCATGTGTAAAAAACAAAGTCGCCCTGGCGTATTTTTCGTTGACAACGCAGGTGGTTTACGACGGGGAGGGCTTTGTCGGCCTAGGATTTTCGAGCACCGGTGCCATGGTCCCCGCTGACGCTGTCGTAGGACTGCCGGATGAAGGCACCGCCTTGGAGTATGACCTCTCCACCTACGTAAGTACACGACGATCCAGCGGGGGGGGCAAGCTCCATGCCATCCCACCAAGGCCATACAACATTGGCATGAAAACATAGGCATGAAGGCAGTCTGAGCCGCAATCGCACCCCGCCGCATCATGGCACGCGCTCGCCAAATGTATGTTATGGCACGCTGACTCTCTCCCCCCGCCCGGCCCTTGTTCTCTTCGTTTCTGCTTCTTTCTTTCTTCCTTGCCGCAAACGAACGACGGGCGCTCCGCAATCATGCCGCGTCGTAATCGCACCGCGCCGTAAATCGCCCCGCACGGGCGCAGGCACTCTCCTCAGACAACGAGCACGAGACCCAGGAGATCTCGGGCGCGAGCGTGACCCAGGCGGATTCCACCACCACCCTGGTCTTCACGCGGCCGCTGTCCCCAGCCGACGACTCCAAGACCGTTCTCTCCGCCGAGGAAGGGGAAAAAGCTACCTTCATATGGGCCTACGGGAGCTCGAACACCTTCCAGTACCACGAGGCGAGGGGAGACTTCACGGTGAGCGACCTGCTGTGCTCTGAGGTAGTGGAGGAGGAGGACGACGATAGCGAGGGGGACGATGCCGCCGATGCCGCCGATGCCGAGGCGGCGGCAGAGAACTGCGCGAGCTCCGACCCGGACTTCGAGTACGAGGTTGCGCCTCACGAGGACCTGGCGCTGTTCTGGAGCGTGGTGGGGACGTCGGTGTCGGTGAAGGTGGGCGATGCTACAGCGGTGGTGTGTGGGAGGTGGTAGCCGGGTGCCAACTTTTTCGACCTTGAAGACCATGTTAGTTTTGCAGTTTTGTCCACAACTTGTTGTTTTCACGTGGGCGTGGACTTTGAGTGGTGTGGACTATTGATAGGTGTGGACTTTGAGAGCAGTGGCGCGAGCTTACCCCGGCTTCTGCCTGCAAGGTTGCAGCACACACACGCACACAAGCACCAACGAATGTGGATCGGTTACCCTTTGCTGACGAGGCTGGCGGTTTGTCGCCGGCGGCACACCGTCGATCAGCGCAGCCTTGTGTGTGTGTGTTTTTTTCGTCCTCGTTAGAAGAAGTATTTACTTTGGCGGCTGTCTCCCCATTTTTCGTGGTGAGACGTGTGCTACACACTTTTCAGTGTATTTTTTCGTACAACTACGACCATTTAGGTCCCACAGGACGGGGTAAACACCGAAGCTTTTTTTTTTCTCTTTATTTTTTATATTCGTGCCACACCGTTCCCCTGCGGTGCGTGTTGAAGTTTATTTTTATCGCGAAAACGGTGCAGCCGTCCCGTTCCCTCGTCGACGATGCTAACGTCGAAGTTGGTATTCACGAACTTGTCAGCCTTGTCGCTTTCACCCCCAAAATTGTTTTTTTTTTTTCACCCCATGGGTATTCAAATTCACAGGTTCTGCGACTATTGGTTTCGATGTCACCACTAGACCACCGGGACGACCGGATTGCGAAGAAAAGTTCACGAAGCACTAGATGATACCTCGCTGCCGTTACTGCACGATTGGAAACCCCATCCCGAAGGCGGTGTACCAGGGGGAGGGGTACCTATCGATCGGGTTCTCGGATTCCGGTAGCATGCCGGGGTCAGACGCTGTGATTGGTCTGCCGGATGAGGCCACTGCTTTGGAATACGACATGGACAGCTACGGCACGCCCGAGGAGGCAGCAGACCAGGTGGGGCGGAGATGCAGAAACACCGGGTCTCAAAGCGTCCATGCCTGTGATTGAGGTTGGTAGTTGCGCGTGGATACATCTCACCCGTTCAATGCGTCATGTCTGTGGTAGAGGTTCGTTGTTCGTGGATGGCTGCATGCCATGTGTTTGCGATGAGAAGGATCAACTTGTAGCGACGGGGGTTCGACGTTAACAGGCCTAGCTATGTTAGGAGCGGCGGGAGAGGAAAGCCACAACACTTGTTCTGGGGCTAGTGTGTTGCGTTTGTTGTTGGGCATGGACGGCTTGCTAAAACCGGCTGACCAAATCAAGAGGCGTCAGTCTTGACGGGACCAGAACCGGTGGTGCTCTTGGTATTTGCACGCGGGTTCCCCTACCAGAGGTCCCGAGGAGAATACCAGAAATATCGGTCAAAGCCCCCCAGATCATTCCCGCGTTCGTGCGCTACGTTTGTCTTTTTTTCTGTCGAAACTTGCGTGCACCGAGCATGTCTCAACAACAGAAGAGTGGAGCAATATGCGCAGGCCATTCCTTGCCTACTACCCCTTTTTCTGATCTCTCTCTCCCCCCCTCTCGTCTTCTCCCTGTCGCACCCGATGTGGTGCTCTCTTCCCTGGTGTTGACTGTCTGTGGTTCCTCTTGATCGTGAAGGAAATTTCTAACGCTACCATCACGCAAGTCGATGGCGTGACCACCCTGACTTTCGTCCGACTCCTGGAGCCGGCGGGCGACGGGAAGCAGGTGCGCGGTGAGCCGCCTCCTTCGTTACATTGCATTTCCTTCAAAGGCACAAGGGCCCTTGACCATCAATCTATTATTACCTCACGTTGCGTTTCCTTCGCGGGCAAAAGGAACTCTCCCATTTACTGGAGTAGACTATAGGCAAACAGTACGTGTGGTGCACAAAAACATCGAATCGTTCGCGGAGAGCGCCGCAATTCTGAGGTCGAAGACAGCGTAGTTGGTATTCGATGGCAGGAAAATGACACAACCTGACGTTGTGCTTTTGTACCCGCCTCACGAACAAACGAAATTTTGACGTTGTTGAGCGTTGATTCCCGGGCTGTGTCTGTCATGTTGGTGTAGTACTAAGTATTGGCTTTGAGGTTGGCGGTTGTTCCCCTCTGTTTAGTATATACCGCCCGAACGAACGCGGAATTCGGAGACGGCGGACATCCACACCGGTTGGTTTTCGATCTGAAGCCAAGGCAACCGCAGCTCTATTAAACAACCCCAACGACTACAACAACGATAACGTCAATGGCAACAGCAACCTCTTATTCACTCGTCTACGCTATGATATCGTCCCAGATCCTGAGCGTGTCGGAGCCCACCGCGTGGCTGTACGCCTGGGGCGGTTCGAACACCTTCCAGGAGCACTCCACACGCGGCGCCGTTTCTCTCACCCTCGACTCCTGTACGGTGGGGGACGCGGGGGGCGGAGGTACTAGCACGGAGTACGCGCACGGCTGGTGAGAGCAACCCGAACACTCCCCTTTGAGGTTCAGAGCTGGGTTTTAGGAGCAATCTCACGGGTTTTCGGCTTGTTGGATGGTTATTATCTCTGACAGATTTGCGGCTTGTTCGATGGTTATAATCTCTCACGGAATGGCGGTTTTGCGGGTGCGGAAGCCGCGCGGAGTCGACTTGTGACCCACACAGGTGTTTTGATGCGGTCAGTTTGATGGCACTGCTACCGCCACTGTAAAATGTCTTGTCGATCGTTTTTTTGTGTTGGTTTGTACTGAGCTGTGAAGAGTGTGGATTCATCCCGTTTTATGGATAGCTCGATGGCCTTTGGTTTTCCCGGTCTATCCTGCTGCTGACACAACCAGCAGCGACAACAACGGCGATGACGTTAATTGAGTGTATTTTTTTTTCCTCCTTGACTGCTTTCCACCCCTCTCTGTCTCCCCCTCGACACCAGTAGCGAAAACAACAACAACCAACATCAACAACAATAGCAACAACAGCAACAACAACAACAACGCCAACTTAGTGTACGTTTTGTTCCTCCCGTACTGCCGCCGCCCCCCCCCCCCCCCCCCCCCCCCCCCCCCCCCCCCCCCCCCCCCCC